ATTTGTTTCTTCTGTTATGACTTCCTCATTATAGTCAGCTGATACTTCAGGTGCATTCAGTTTATTCGTTAATGATGCGGTTAGTGGAATGTCTGGAGTATCCTGTGACTCTACGCTGCAATACTCTGAGTATGCGCCTTCGTTTCGCCCCAAAATATAGGACCTTGCTCTTTACTTAGACTGCAGAAGACTTAGATGGTCATGAAGACCACCTTTTGCTCTAATTACTCCGAAAAAAATATCCTATCACATCTTGATTAAGATGTCTTGTTAATGGGTACTGGACGCTGAAGTAGAGATGTAAAGGGTCCAGGTAATGATACAGACTTGGGTAAATTTTCCGTAGGAATGGCATTGTCTTTTAGAGCACGGTGTCCTTTAGGGGTGTAACCCAAAAGGGTATGTTTCAAATTGACCTTATAGGCACTTTCACAAAAGTACTTCAAGCAAACTCTAACGCTTTTTGCATTGACTTTGTCTATCCTTTTTGTAAGATGTAGCCATTTTTAGCTAAGGTTTGGGTCTTGAGGAAAACTGTGGAACTTCATGTCTTTGCAAGGATTCCCTTTATATTGGTTGTCGGAATTACATCCCACAGCAGCACACCGCATTTTTATCAATTTGTTAACCACACGTGTTAAAATATGAAGTATGTATATTTCATACAAGTCACAAAACCGCCAAAAATCACCAACAAATCGCATTGTATAATATAAACCACGATACGCGAACACTGCAGTAACGTTACGATAATCTTGCCGCTAGTGGTGACTTCACGAAGCTCCGCCCATATGCGCAACATCCTATCTTCAGTGTATGTGTGTCGTGACTGAAATACCAAATACCACTGACGTCGTAATGAGTACGAGAGAGAAGCACGAGAATGGTGCAATACGTGTGTTAGAAAGAGATAGCAACTCGAGTACGAGGTCACGTATGCCATCGGCGCACGCTTTCTAACATACATATGACACGCTTCTCGCGCTTCTCTCTCGTACACATTGCGACGTCGGTCAAATTTGAATCTCACCACAGATGTCACCACCAATAAAACCGCGACAGTGTTGGGTAGTCGGAGTACTAAGCATTGACAAAGCTATCAGGCCAGGCATTATATGCATTCATGCATAAATATACAACGGCTGAACTTGATATGTTTGCGTTTCGCCTCTGTTACCAAGACCAATCGTAGACAGCGCTATTTCATGCTCTTTAGCGACTCACCGATATGGTAAAGGTCTGGTTACAGGGAGACAGACAACCGGAAAGCATACATGTCCAGTTCAGTCGGTGTCTACTCGTATTCATGCATCAGTGTATGGAATGCCACAGCTTGATAGCTTTGTAAATGCTTAATACTCCGACTACTTGAGAGTGCAGGCTGTTTAATCGATGATGGTATCTTTACGTACGTCGAATAGAGTGTCAGTTTTGGCAAACCACTTTTAGGTGGCGTTTCTCACTTACATACCTAAGTTTTTGCGCAGTGCTGTAAATGCCTTTATTATTCCTAAATATTTGCAAGTCTTCTTCAATTGTTAAGGTCCCGTGGTCGCCTTTCACAACACAATAGCTTACACCACTGTTGTAATAAGTTGTAATGGTTTTCGAAATACTCAACATTTCTTGCAATTTTTATGACTGTGCTTATTTTTGAGGCAGGTCTGTATAAATGCTCTTACCCCTACTTGACTTTTTGAAGTATTCTCATAGAGTAAAGACTAATGTATGAACCGAATCGGTAGTCAATCTTATTGTAGTTACTTCGTTATTTATTGTTTAAGTATACAGCATATTTTCAGTGCAATAGGTTTTTGCAGACGTCTATTGTATGTCTGAAGATTCATAAAAGGACAACTCAAACATGCTAGGGAACTCTCTCTCTCTCTCTCTCTATCTCACTCTCAACTTAGCTATATTGAGAAAAGTTATCAAATAGTTTCAGTATAGGGAGAGTCCTACAGTACCGGCCGGCATCCAGTACAAGACAGTGCAAATTCTAACAACCTGACAACAGGATGGCGCTGAAATTTTATCGTGATTGTGCAATACACTCACGGGATGATATTCCCGCGCGGCGTTAACTTGCAACGACAGTTTACTTCCAGTTCAAAGACTTTAGTTGCGCGTGATGGACGCTAACTACGTAATTAAAATTCTATTCACAATTTTCGAAGTTCAGAGATCCAGTTTAAAACAAATAACTACTGGTAAGTAGAGTGTACTTATATATCTATAGAAAAGTGTCTTTATAATTAACCTTTGTACATTCATGTTCGTTAGAAATCGAATTTAGTTTTTTTTTTCGTTTCCTCCAGTACCGGACATAATGTTGTCCTACAGTACCGGCCATTCTATTAGATCGTTTTTAATTGTTTTGTTTACTTTCAGATATACAAAAATGTCAAGTCACGGGAATGATGGTCAGACAACGCAAAAGAAGGGCACCTGGGATCCTGCCAACATGCATAAGGCCGTGGAAAAGGTACTGAATCATAAAATAAGTGCTCGTCAAGCCGCAGAACGCTATCAGGTACCACGATCTACTTTGAATGATAGAGTTAGAGCTATTAAAAGTAATAAAGAGATGTCTATTGAGCCAGTTATGGGTCGTTTTCACAATACTTTTGCACCAGAACATGAAGAAATATTGGCATCGCATGTTAAAGACTTGGCCAACAGGCTAATGCCTTTAAACAGACAAGAATTTTTACGTCTCGCTTTCCAACTGGCCGAGAAATTAAAGTTACCTCACCAGTTCAATAAAGAGAAACAATCTGCAGGGAAAAATTACTATTATTCGTTTATGAAAAGACATAGTGACTTATCATTGCGAACTGCTGAATCAACGAGTTTAATGAGAGCAGTAGGATTTAACAGGCCTCAGGTTATGCGATTCTTTGATGGTCTTGAGACTTTGATGGAGAGATTTAAATTCACACCTTATAAAATATGGAACTGTGATGAGACTGGAGTTAGCATTGTTCAAAAACATGCTAAAGTGTTAGCTACTAAAAACCAAAGGCAAGTCGGAAAGCTTACGTCAGCAGAACGTGGAAAGAACGTTACACTGCTTTTTGCAATGAGCGCTGGAGGTCAGTTCGTACCACCTTATTTCATATTTCCACGAAACAGAATGAATGAAAGACTAATGATTAATGCTCCAAATGAGAGTGTAGGTGAAGCTCAACCAAACGGCTGGATGAATGCCGAATTATTTTTGAAATGGATGCAACACTTTGTGCAATATTCTAATCCAACAGCCCAGAATCCCGTACTCTTGATTCTAGATGGGCATGCTAGTCATAAATTTCAACAAGTAGAAACTCAAACAGAAGTTATTGCTGATAAATCCAGAGAAAATTTTAAAGCTGCACTTACAGAACTGTCACCGGTTCCTGATGCTTCCAAAAGAAGAACTACTGTAAGACGTCGTAAAGCTGAAAGAAGTGAAATTATAAAAAGTTCTCCATACAAAAGGATGCTGGAAGAGAAAAGGGCAGATAAAAGGAATGTCGAACAACTTAAAAAGAAAGTTAATGTTTCAGAAAAAGATGTTATTAAAAAGGGAAAAAGCTTGCTGTCGGAAAGATGTCAGTAAGAAACAAAAACAAATAAAAACGAAACCTACCTCCTCTCGTATCGATTGAGAACAGTTTGTCACTTTGTTGCGAATCTCACGAGAGATTGAACATGTGGAACTCAAGATTGGTCCGAGGCTTGTGCAAACGTATCAGAGCTTGATCATTATTGCGATTATTGTATTGTTAATGTTACTAATCACTGGCCGGTACGAGGCCAATTTTGTTAGTTGATTTTTCTAGGTTCGAATTGCAATAAAAGTTGATTACGTCTGAACCTACTGTTGTTTATTATTTATATTATGCTAATAGTTTTACAACATATCAAAGGTTTTAAACATAACCATAAGTATTTGATTTTTTTGTTATACCTTAGGTGCGGTATTGAGGACTCCCCTATTTCTATTTATATATGAAAGTTATAAGATACGAAACTAAAAATTTAAATAGTTTTCATGTATATCAGCTCCTTTGCTTGCTAGCGATTTTGAATTTGCTTTTACTGTGAATTGAATTGGCAGCATCTAACCCCAAAAAAATAGACAGTACCGGCTTACTTATAAACAGTGAAGAAAGTGGATGAGAGGTAAAAACAAAAACCTTCAAATGTAAAATACAACTCAAATATATGATGTAGGTATTTATATAAAATATACGTACAAAATAAATACGACTACTAAACTACTGGTTACTTTGTACATGTTGAGTTGGTATGTTTGTACTTTCTCGTACTGGCATACCACGAGGAATTCTGCCGTCTAACAGTTCGGGCAAAATACACTCTTTATAAAAATACCCTAGTTTGGGCACCATCCTCTCACGCCACAGCTTATCGTCCTTAAACATCCTCTCTACATTGAAATAGAGAATGAAGTCGCAGAATCTGCGCTCGGTGATGTTGAGTTGTTCTTGAACCTGCAAATAATAATTGTGATTTCTTTTTAGGGACACTGTACCGTTTTCTATTGTGTACCATGATGTACTATTCACACCATCTATTAGGGATCCCCTAACTGAAAGCAGGCATTTAATTTCTATCAGGCCATCTCTGCCAACGAGGCCATCCGGTGAAGCTGCTAAGAAAGGATACTCCTGACTCACAAAAAGTCCACACTCTTCAACGGATGTCCCTGTTTGCTGCTCATACTTATGTCAGGCTGTTGCTTCGTGTACTCTGCCATACATAGTCGCTGCTGTTTGCAGGCTGTCAACGTGATACAACAGGTTTTTGACTATGTTATGGCGGGAGTAGATGCTCTCCTTTTTATTACGCGACCGAAATTAGATGCCGTCAAATATTCTTTGCCTAAACTCCTCCACAAAGCATTTTCATGCTGGCCTCTTGTGGATGTTTCGAGTTCTGCAATTTTTTTGTTTGACTCTACTCGGTTGGCTAGAGTCTGCAGAAACTTGTCTTTCCTATTCTCCATCTCTTGCTCGTTTAATGCACGTCCGGCCCACCAGAAGACTGCTTTTTTGTTTTTTCTTGCAGATAAGTCTACTCCTTTCCAGTGCCCTTGTCCTTTTCAGACAGAACTTGGCTGTCGAGGCCCCTGCCAAAAAATTATTTTTCCGTTGGGGATGCTGAAGATTCTTGATCAGCTTCGGTTCTGTTTCGTAGTGATAATCTGGAAAAATGAAAGTCTATTTATAATATATAATATAATTTAGGAAAATGTGGCAATATTTATAGAGCTGAATATATACACTACATGGAAAAATAAAACAGAACTATAAAAAATGGGCACTAAACTGCGCAATTACCGTTGTAATTTTGTACGCTACTGATGAGACTAAGTAGGGAAAACACATAACAGTTGTTCTTCAAATACCGCGATGGTGAGTCAGAACTACCTACAAATACGATGCACAAAATTTGGTTTTGATGTATAAATACGCATGAACAATGCGCACTAATAATTGTTTGTCAGTGGCGTGAATCTATGTTAAATTCAGACAGCCATTTACTTAGTATTTACTGGACTGATTTTTCGCATTTTGTATACGATTAGCCTGCGAAAACATTATGGATTCTGTCTTATATTTCTGTAGCTGCTCTACTGATTTCCTGGCGCTAATCTTGACGCAACTTTTGCTTTCTTTCCTATACCTTTACATAAGATATGCAATTTACCTGCCATTTTAATCCATCTTTATCCAGACTGGCTATTCAATAAAATGCCGGAAATCCCAGTTCGGATTTTATGAATTTCCAGGTAGTAGAGGAGAAGGTCTAAATACGGGCTGGTGCTTTGTTTTTATTTATTTAAAATACAATGTTCATATTTGTTTTAATATTAGGCCTAGTATAGCATAGCTGGAACATATGTATGTAATAATACCGGGAAAAAATAGTCTAAATATGAAAAGCTTTCACTTTACAATATTTATTTCTATAAAAGGTAAAATACAAGATTTTGCAGGTAGGGTCCAAATATGGGCTACCATCAAAATACATCTAGATATTGCCCGTGGTTTCACAGTATTTCAAAAAAAGATATTCTAGGTATGAAATGTTATCAATAATCATATTATTAAAAAAACAGTTTAAACTATAAAACCAAATAATAACTGTTGCACAAATGCTTATCGCCATTACGTCAGGCTTGAAACAATAAACACAAGTTTATAGACAAAAAGTCTTGGAGACAAAATATAAAACTTATTTACAAAAGTCACATATGTAAATGTCCTTTTCAGCACCCGCACAGTCACTATGTGCCCACATAAAACACTGAAAACACTTCACCCAAACTTCTCCTCTAGTGTCTTCTGAAAACATTCCATTGCAAAATAAGCAACTTGCATCCTCATCGTCTGGGTAATGTCCATTAGGCCTTTCAATGTCACTCGAACTGTCGTCGGGTAAGTCACCATCAGAATCTGAAGATTCTGACTCCGGTTTTGAGCTTATTTTTGGTCTTTTTGTCATCTTATTGCTGCTCTTTTTTTTTGAGCCATCAAAATCGTTAAATAGCAATTTTTTTTTGCTCATGTTCGCTGCAGACTTTTCCAGGCTCTTCGAAAGCTCTTCTTTGTATGGTGTATCTGTGATCACACAAGCACTTGAAGACTTGCGACCACGATTTGTGACCTTTTTCTTGATGTTGGGTACTGGGGCAATTTGAAAAGGGCTAATTTGCTTCGATGGTCCAGGTAGATTCTTTGGAGTGCTTGAAGAGCAGCATTGAGAAAATGATGCATGGGAAGATGATGTAGATCCTACCACCTTTGACTGATCAGCCTGGGGTTCATTGCATGTTTTCTCTGCTTCGATTAAATATTAAATATTTTTGTTCAAAGGAAAAATTCCGGTTGCCTTGAAACCATTGACTGCAATATCTCCCGTCTGGACCTTAAGGTAAGCTTTCCCAAAGAGCTCCATGATCTCATATGGTGTAACAGCGCGGTTTGAATGTCTAATAAATTGTCTTACTTCCTCACTATAAAAAGCTTTTAATGGTCCCATGAATGTCTTGTCGAGCGGCTGCAGTTTATGTGTAGAGTGCGGTGGAAGACAAATTATTGTCACGAAGCTCTTTCGGGCCATGTCAATTAAATCTGGATTTCGGACGTGACTGTAATGTCCGTCCAAAATCAGCAGAACTGGCGAGTTTTCTGTCGGACAGACTTTCTCAATAAAATGAGCAAACCAGTCTGTAAAAATATTACTTTGAACCCATCCTGAGGGGTGAGCTCTCCCTATTGAACCTGGAGGGCATCCTTTCATTAGGATTTGAGTCATATTTGTCCTTGGGAAGATCACTAGAGGAGGGACGAAAACTCCAGAAGCACTCATGCATGCAATTATCGTTACGGTAGAACCTCTCTCTGCAGAAGTCAAGGCTGCTATTTGCTTTTTTCCTTTTCGACCAATGACATGAGGAATTTTGCTTTGAACAATAGAAAGTCCTGTTTCGTCAACATTAAACACTCTCTCAGCTGGAAATTTGTGTTTTTCGTAAGCCTCTTCGAGCATATTGAAAAAACTCTGAACATTCTCTTTGTTGAAGCCTAAAGCTCTTGAGAAAGATGTTCCACATGGTTTCCGAATAGATAGGTGCTCTTTATGACGATTTAAAAAAAGATCCACCCAAGATCTGCCGGCCTCGTTACGGTTAAATGGCGTTTCAAGATGATTTCTAATTGCAATTTGATAAGCCATTCTGCGCAAATCTCGGATAGTGTACCCATAAAACTTCTGCTCCATTATGAGTAAGTAGGAAACTAACTCTTTTTCCAAGTCTTCACCCAAGTAAGGCTTTCGCCCAAGCTTAGTACAAACTGCTTGTGCTGGAGTAAGGTCAAGTTTTTTACTCAAAGTTTGTAGGGTTGTACGAGGCACATTAAAAGTTTTTGCCGCTTTTAAGGTTCCCATCTTTTTTTCTCGAACCACTGTAATTGCTGTTTCCATGTCTTCTTTCTTCCACGACTTCCTTTTATCTTTCTTGACATATTTTGGATTGCTGCGCGGCATTCTGAAACCAAAATAAGTCGTAATACTAAATAAAGGTCCAAATTCGGGCTAGCCCAAATTCGGACCACACTTTGTAGCCTATATTTGGACCATCGTTATCAAAAAGAATAGGTGTGTGGCAAATATTAGTGAACAACATTATAGCAAATGTAACCTATGTAAGAATAACCTTAGTATGTCACTAAAATCATTAATGAAATAGATCAGTTCTAAGTTCAAAAGATCACAGTGTCAAAAAGAAAATAAACATACCTTATAAACTTTCCGAGTCGCTAAATCACAGGATATAGCACACCGTGGAACATAACATCTACACATGTCAAATGAACACAACCGATTTTTTACCGCCAACGGTTTGACTGACGAGACATCATTGTGCGCTGTTGCCTTCTCTTTGCCAGTAAGTAGGAAACCACAGTATCAAGTAGCCTATATTTAGACCCTAGCCTATATTTAGACCTTCTCCTCTAATTCAATATCCGTCAGCAATGAGACATGTGAAAAAGCAGGTAGATTGCATGTTTACGTACATATATACTTGTATAAGAGAAGAAACGAAAATCACATTTTGATTTTATGCACTAGCCGTTACCTGTCTTCCAGACATGGACTAGAAAATGAGGACAGCAGCACCAGAAGAATCCGAAGGCTTTTCGCAGAACTGAGGTCCCTGTTTAGTGGTTTAGCTACAAGTAAACTAAGATTTTGGCGTAGTTTCTGCAGTGCAGTTACTTTTTTTTACACACTATATTGCTAGTCCCCGAAGGAGTTTTTAACGACATAGGAGAAGCTTTGGCACTGACATTTTCACCGAAGTTATTTTTGAGTGGAATGAAAAAATAAATGAACAACAATAATATCTTAAATAGCAGGAGAAGAGTTCAATACAAAATGACATATATTGTGTGCTTGCTACATCACTACTTAATATTTTTGTCAATTTTCATTCGTTTCGGTATCATAGTTTTCATACAAATCTAATTTGTTTAATCGGAATAGCAACATTCAGACAAAGCAGAACGACAAATTTCAGTTTCCAGGCTATTGATTTTAGATAGGTAGGTATACAGTTGCTCAAGCCAAATGACTTCTTGTGACTCCTTTTTAAAAAGAATGAGCCAACATACGTGTTTCTGTATAGTAAAGCAATACTTACCTTGCTTTTAGAGCATTCTTTCGACGTAAACATCTCTTTCCTGACATGTGACGTCTTTTTGATAGTGGAGGACGGGCCTTAGGCATCTTAATCACAAAAAAGAGCAACAACAACAAATTTATAACAATCACAATAATCACAGATACATCACTTCAGCACTCGAGGAATAAATCGAACGAGTGGCAACACAGTGAATAATTAGCATACCGAACAAGGCACCTGTCTTATATCTAGCCGCTTATCACTCGCTGGAGGTGTGGTCAGCGGGAGGCGTGGTTTTGCTGCGATTAATATCCAATTGCCTCCACGACTCTGAGACCCTTTGAAATAGAAAGCTTATTTTTTAGCTGTGGCTTGTTCTACAGCTTCTCTATGTTCAGTATGAATAAAGTTTGGCAAACGGATCTGCAACAGCGAAAGGAATGCGACCGAAAATATTCGATATTGCCAAATTTAACTACAAAAAAGCAATAATAATAATAAAAGTCATTTCAATGATTTGAAAATCGATTTTTCACAATTCCAAAAAATAATAATTCAAAATACTGAGTATTTTAATGGGTTGTTAGCTCTATTTGTATTTAATAACTATTTTTTACTACTGAATCTTATTATAAGTAAACATTTTTCCAAAGATCTTATCGACATCGGTTGAGCTGGCAACAACCACCCGAAAGGTATATTGGACACCGCCTAAACGAATCTGATTGGCGGATATCCTCACATATTTTGTCGCCATGAGAAAATTCGACTCCCTATTGGGTAGCGTCCCAGACAATTTTTTGCTCCTTTCTTAGAATATCCATACTATTGAAAAGTCCAGTGGCGTAGGTTTTATCTCCGTTGATTGTCGTGTATGAGTTTTACAACTATTATTGTTAACTATTTATTGTTCTATTAAGTTTGTATGTTTAGTGCTGTGTGTTTTTGCATAGTTTAGTGTTTTGTTATTTGTTATTGTTATTCGTTTTAGTATTATTTTTTAAAAATGAACCAAATTACTCGCGGAAAGGCACTTCATAGCCAAACAAGAGAAGTGATTGCGAATGTTTATAGGTTAGTAATAATAATATGCAATAAATTGTAGTTTTTGACGACTGAGTCTGAATACAAATAAAAAACAAGGAAATGCTAAGCTAACATTCTGATGATTATTTATAGGGTTTGCGATGAGGAAGAGGCAAACAATTCCCTCAAGTTGCCGCTTAAACGTAAGCTTGATAGGGTGTCCCTTTATACCGGAGTCGGAGTATCTTCTGTTAGGAAAATTCATAACGAAGATAAAGAAAGACTAGAAAATAACCCGAATAAAATGTTATCCAGTCCCGGAAAAAAAGTCAGTCTCTTGTTGAGAAAGGTGAAGATTTTGATTTTCAGATTATTAGACATTTGATGAACAGATTTTATCTTGAATATAAAGTTGTCCCGACAACTAGGAAGTTATTACAAAAGTTGCGAGAAGACTCAAATTTCCCATATTCTAGGGAAACACTCAGGAGTTTATTAAAATCAAATGGTTTTTTTTGGCGCAAATGTCAAAATAAAAGAAAAGTTTTGATGGAGAGGCCTAATATATTGCAATGGAGGTACAAATACATCCGTGAAATACGTAGATATCGTGAAGAAGGGCGCAATATTGTTTATTTGGACGAAACCTGGGTGGACAATGACTTGACTTTCAAAAAATGCTGGCAGAGCGAAAATGTTTATGGTGTAATAAGCAGTATAGGTTCTACAGGTAAGCAAAAATGCTATATATGTTACATTTAACTCTGATTTGTAACATATTATATAATCGTCTTGTATATTTTAGGTCGACTCATTATAGTGCATGCAGGTTCAGAAAATGCATTTGTTGACAATGCCTGTTTGATATTTAAGGCGGGATTAGCTACAGGCGATTACCACGGTCAGATGAATCGGGAAAATTTCACACGCTGGCTCACAGAAAAACTCCTCCCGAATATACCTGCCAATTCGGTTATAGTATTTGACAATGCTCCATATCATTCCGTCCAGGAAGATAAAACCCCGACAAAATCATCTTCGAAAAAAGATATAATGGCCTGGTTGACAAAGAAAGGTACTTATGACTCAAAACATGCATGTACATATCAAACTATACAATAAAATATTTTATAGGCATAAATCATGAGGCAACTGCCAGAAAATTTGACTTGTTCGATCTGGTCTTACTTCATAAGCCCCCTGACAACCAAAAAAATTATGTAGTTGATCGGATCATAAGATCACATGGACATACTCCTCTAAGAACACCTCCTTATTTATGCGAGCTAAACCCAGTAGAATTAGCTTGGGCAAAGCTTAAATTTCATATAAGAAGCCGCAATACCACTGGAAACTTCAGTTTAACCGCACTGAAAGAAGTTACTCTGGAAGCGATGTTCTTAATATCCATTAATGATTGGCAGACATTTTGTCAACATGCTAGGGACATTGAAGATAAATTTTGGGAAAATGATCAATTTATAGAGGAAATGGAACCAGTTATAATAACTATAGGGCAAGATGACGACAGCGAAACTGATGACGACAGTGACTATGATAATAATGATGAAGTTGACGAACACCAATGCTAATTCAATAGGTGAAATGTAATTTTGAAATGCTGTGTAATGTAAGTATTATTTATTACAGAGGTTATAAGTTAAACGGATATGAAATATGTTTAAAGTTCTTTGTTTTTATTTAAGCGACACCGATGCTCTAGAAATATCCACATCAACAGTCCAAAATTGCAACAATAGGAATCCAGAAAGATGCGGATTATAAAATAAAAATTAATTCTGGTCGTGTTTCGGCTTGTGGCACTTTTCAAAGTAAATGAGTATTATAAGATCACGGATGTATAATATATATATATATATATATATATATATATATATATTCTCAAGGTAAAAAACCACGTTAAGTATCTATTTGTATTTGAAAAATATATTTTATTTACGGCTTTGACAAAAACGCTAGCTTGATTTAGGTTTTAAATCGCGCAGTTATCATGATTTTTTGAATTGTGGCAATTTTGGGAAGTGAGTAGACATTTTTCCGTTTGTTGAAGTGTAGAAACAAACTCGAGTGTTTTTTTACATGGTGTAGATTGTAGAAAACAGCTATTTTTGAGTTTACCCGAGACTTTATTTATTATTATGGACAATGCTCCATATCATTGTGGGCTTATTGAGATACTCCCCAAATTTAAAGTGAAACATAAACGTATAGTTTACTAAATTTAAACCAATTATGAAATAATCCCAAACTTTTATAAAATACCGCACGCCGCTGGCATTTTATGAATGAAACCAGCCATGTTTTGCTTTCCACTCACCGATACCCCGATGTTGCAGATCCGTTTGCCAAACTTTACTATCTGAAAAATTGTTTTTCTCCGATAAAAAAAAATATTTTTGCGAAAGAAAAAACGTAATCTATCAAATGAACCATACGCGACCTTCCTTTATCCACTTGTAATGCAATCACAAATCTCATGTCTGTGCGACTATTTATTCTGAAGCTATCGCGGCAGAAATATTGACAAAAAAAAGTATATATTTTGACAAAAAACAAGAGATTATCACAAATCAGTCATTTTTACACACACCATAAAATAATTAGACAATATGTATTAATAATGCTGCCCAAATCGCACAGTTGAAAAAACGGGATGAGCGTCCCCGCTCCTTCAACGGCTTCCACACCGCTATCTGCACACCGACCAGATCATCAGGAGCGCTCCTACGAGTATATGGAATAGGAACCAGGATTTGAACAAAATACATGAATACTCTAACAATAGTCATGCTTGCAATTGTTATTCGCATTGTCT